TTTTGTAGATGACATCATTTTGACTGTCTTGTTTCACTTTGTCCTTCGGTTTTGAAAGCAATCTTCGCAAAGTACTAGTGGGTTTGTGGGCTACGAGGCTTCCATGTCGTCATAGTGAGCTCGAGGTTAGTTCAGACACTTTCTTGATGTAAGAAAGCGCTACCTGTTTATCTACATTTCCCCGCTGTTGTTGACGTACTCTTTTCTTTAGGCCCAGTGAATCATAAACGTTATGGATTCTATGGTACGGTACATGGCGTACATTCATCTCCGGGAACATTAAGTTTGTCAAATGGCAAGCCGATAGTCCTCATAGCTCAACTAACATGAAAATGTAAACAGTTGCATCACTAGCAATTGTTCATCACCTTTGTACGACCGCCAGCTGTTTGTGACAATATTGTATCGATAAGTTATAGACGCAATGATCCTGAATGTTTGCATAATAATTAGGTTTTATACTTGGTTTCCCTTTTCTTCGACTTAGTAATCTTCATTTCGTAGGTCCTCATGTTTGAACAGCATGAAAGCATCAGTTCAGTTGGCTAACTTACTGCTGTTGAAGATGATGTTGACAGAGTCCTCATCTCTTTTGTTTTAAGCGCTTTTGAAGGAATCATTTAGCAATTGTACAGGATACCCGGGGTTAAGATAATGCCCTGAGCAGTAAGCCGAATCAATAATATTTATTCGCCTTTTCAGAACTACGCCCTTGCCCCATAGCTCCTCATGTTGGATGCGATAAATTAACATCATGTGAAATGGTGTTCCCATCTCCTTTGATTTTCCTCGCTTGGTTTTGTGATCACTTAAGTCGTTGGAGCGAAGTCAATCACAAGATTAATCTCCGGTCAGAGAATTAGACATCCTGTGGAGAACAAGTCCATCTTTAAGCGGAAGGGGACACCTTAATCCCTCTTTAGTAAACCAAACGTTACCTGAGTCAAAGCCTGATTGCTCTGGTGTGATGACGGCGGTACAGTCATGGCGATATAGTCACAATAACACAGGAGGAAAAGAAGCATGATTGTGCAAGATTAGTTCGCTGTGCACGCGCTAGTGAATGGCCCAGGTATCGATCAGGTGCACTCAAAATTTATCGTCCATTTGCTGAATATCTGAGCAACTTCAAGCAACGATACTAAAACAAGTAACAAGTTAGATCCATAGTCAGCTACGCAAAAAGATTAAATTGCTTTGGTAAGCATCTAGAACTTATTCACCAAAATTGTTCTGGGGCGCTCATCAAGGCTTAACTACGGGGAAAGATGCCGAATTCCTAGTTTAACCCATTCTGTCTATGAAGGCAGCCTCACTTTACTTTGCCGTATCTTGTAACTACGAGTGCTGCCAACCAGTACAGCTATCCTTTTACAAAATCGCTCAATCTACGTTAAGCCTAATGGGTGGTGTTTACTATCCTTCCAATAGCCTGCGGAAGTTACACCTTTAGATTTCACCCTTATGAGATATACCCAGGTATGGAATAATTTGTAAATAAAAATAAGATTGAGCAAGCACGTTCAAGCATTTAGGTCTTATTTATAATCTTTTCTTTCCATTGCTATGGAATCCATACCAAAGGTGATCAGAGCTTTTGGCCTTCAGCTATGCACGGCTCGAACAACATTTGACTAAATCAGTTTCCCTGTTTGTTCTTTATTATCCATTGCACATAATTGTGAGATACCGATCCATATAGACCCTGAAGGTCAGTACTGAGATACTGATTTATCCAACATCAGCAAGTCCTCGAATTTTTTCCTTCACACTTACGTCAGAGTCTGGAATAACCTAGCACCCAGGATACATGACTGCGCTCTTGGGCGCGAATTTTGTAAAAGTATCAACATGTTCTTAAATGCACAAAAATACGCAAATGTATCGGTTTTTCCATAACCTAAAACAAGAACACCACATGGGTCCAGTTTTCACGTGACCAAGTGCTTGGTTGGTTACCACAATCTCTTATGTGAGTTGGCAATTTGTAATAACTCCTTGGAGAAAGTACTGGAAGGTCCGTCAACATCACTTCATTTTAGCTATCCATTTGGTGTGCCATCGCTGTCGTTCCGAAAACCAGTACCAGATCTGATTTTCAAATTTTCCTGATCCATCTGTGATTACCGATCCATACAAGTATGAACGTACCCCATCATGTCGTTGTAGATGTACCTGGCGCCCCGGAGAATAAATATTCGTCTATTTATTTATTTTGATGTACTCAGGAGTAAGGGATTTTGATATAAATAAGTAAAGGTTCGTCGCAGCCCTCCTCCAAATCAGATAATTTTCCAATACCTGGAAAAGCACTAGACTGCAGTTGTAGCCTGTTTCCCATCATCAGTAGTGCTCATCCATCGGATCCATCAGGATTCGAATCAATGACCACCAGCGGCTTGCACTGGCAGTCAGCAGCTTATGCCTGTGCCACGAAACTGGCTGCGATGGACTCTTACTTATTTATAGCAATATCACCTACTCCGGACTACAACAAAATATATCCGCCCTGACAGTTTCTAATTGCTATGGCGTACGTCATTGCTGTCAGTATACGTCGTGTCTTTCGGGGCCCATCCTGTCATCTGCAACGTTCGTAAGTTGCATGACAGTGGAGGATAAGACGCGCTATGTCGCCGTTAGCTTGCAAATCATGACGGTCTGAAGCTGTCCCCCGTGGCTCAGTGGTATAAGCCGTTGACAGGCGGTGCAACTCGCCAGTGGTCATGGGTTCGAATTCTGATGGATCCGATGGATGCGCAATACTGATGATGCGCAACAGGCAGAAACTGCAGTCTAGTGCTTTTACGGTCATGTGGTCGACTATCTGATTTGGAACTGACTGCGAAGAACCCACCATTGGATTTAGACAACATCACCTTCCCTGCGAAAGCTGTGTTGAAGAAGTTGTTATCCTTGCGTATCCACAATTGTCCTGCAGTCGACAACATCCGACAAAGACTCTGCAGACGCTAGCTAATGATCTAACAGAACCACTGGCTGTTTTCTATCAGCGACGTCTAGAAGAGAACCGTATTCCACCAGTATGGAAACGAGGGGTCATCACTCCTATCCATAAAGGAGGCAGCCGCACTGATTCTATCAACTACCGTCCAATAACACTACTTCCCGTACTATCCAAAGTGATGGAATCAATCATCGTAGATGCGCTGATGCAGTATCTGGAAAGCCACAAGTTAATAACCCCAGAGCAACATGGCTTTCGTCAAAAGCATTTGTGTAATACTAATCTATTGATTGCACGTAATACCTAGACTGAAGCTGTTGATGATGTCATCTAACTGGACTTCTCAAAAGCGTTTGATCGCTTAGACCATCGAATTCTCCTCCAGAAGCTTTGGAATTACGGCATTGGCTACCCAATCCTGAGTTGGATTAGCGATTTTCTACAAGAACGGCGGCTAGTGGTGAGAGTCCGAGAATCATTTTCTCATGCCATGGATGTGGCTTGGGGAGTATCACAAGGCTCGGTTCTTGGACCTCGTCTATTATTGGTGTTCATTAACGATTTTGCGCGAACAATTGCTTCCGATTTCCTATTTTTCGCTGACGATATCAAGATATGGCGAAGGATCAGAGGACCGGACGACCACGAACAGCTCCAGTGTGATTTTAACACAGTGTCGAACTGGTCAGTTCCAAACGCCATATCATTCAACGTAGACAAATGTCACGTTGTACAATTACGCCGTAGACATAACTATACCTATGTACTTGGAACAAACGGACTGCAGACCATCTCCAAGGAAGGTGACCTTGGTGTGCTCGTACAGTGCGACCTCAACTGTTGAAAACAGGCTGAGGTAGCTGCGAAAAGAGGCAACCAGTATGTCGGCATGCTGCGAAGGACATTCGGGAGATTTGACCCATCAATCTTCCCAATGATGCACAATTCCTACGTACGCCCGCATGTTGAATACGCTATCCAAGCTTGACAACCTTGGTGAAAGCGCGACCTAGAAGCCTTAGGGACAACACAACGAAGAGCAACAATGAATGTAAAGGGTCTGCGCTACCACTCTTACCACCGAAGGCTGAAATTGCTGGGAATTTTCAGCGGACCCTATCGAAGGCGGTGCGGCGATCTCATATAAGCGTATAAGATACTCAGTGACCGCAACCACGTATGCCACCATTTGCTGAAAATTAGCCACAACACGCAGCTCAGGGATAACTGCTTAAAATTGAAGGAATAATATAGTCGTCTAGTGTCGACGAAATTAATTTTCCCTTCGGGTTTGCCAACCCTGGAACGCACGCCCAGACTCAGTTGTATCCTCTCCTACCTTGAACGTGTTCAAAAAACGATTAGATGTTGCTCTTAGCTCCCAGCATTTTGTTACCTAAACTCCTCTACTGTGGATTACACCAAGCATGTTTTTCAGCAGCATTTCTGTAGCAAAGGGACCCATGTGAGCAACCATATTTTACTTTTCTTACGCCTTACATCAATGATTACTGCACCCCAGTGTCTTTCTGAACGTTTATGCTCGATTTCTTTTAATTTTACACTAATGTAATTTATCGAAGTAATCATCTAGGCAGACGTTCGGTAGCTGACCCATAAATATCCATTTTATCGTATTCACCCCAGCCATCCTACGGGACTTGTCAAGCGCTTGCTTTTATCCCGTGATAAACCATTGTTCATTGTTAAACATAAACCTCATATTCAAAATGGCAATGCACTCGGACCTCCTAATAAACTGCTAAATCCCCCAAATCCAGGGTTACGGTGTGCAACCCGCCAGTCGGGAATCTATACGCAAATATTAATTATTTATTTACAGCGATTAACAAAAATTTATTCATCTGCTACATGCGGCGTGTCAAGTAACAACCATGTTCGTATAGCAAATGAAACGCAGACGAACGAGCTGTCCACTTGTTTGGTAGCAAAATTAGCATTGTAAGCAAAATGTTTAACATCTCAATCTCATGTATATTTCGAAATTCCATTTAGGATTAAACTCGAATACCTTTGTTGATTTGTCCAGTCGCCTGACTTGGGTCCAGTTCCGCAGCTTCCGTTTCATCGACGTCTTCTACCTCGTATTCCACCGAATCTGCGTAATTACAAAACATAGGGGAGCAGTTTAAACCCATCGTTAAAGTGCGGCGCTGAGGTTTTGCACCATGATAAATGCGTAAGGATGTATCAGGGCATAGTTACATCTTCACAATGTCAAGATGTTCCCCTGTTGCCGTCAATCATCGACATATTTGCTAGTCTGCAAATCGCATGCGACAAATTTGTAAAAATGCCTGGCGCCCTACATGAAAACATTGACTCTTTTACTGGGCCCTGCAATCAAAAACTCCATCTATGCTGCATTGATGATGTCGCCTAGGCTGGTGACGAAAAGTCTGTAGTCGAGTTGCCCTGTTCAACAAACAACACAACAACTGGACAGTTGAGGTATTGATTTGGTCCCCGATCTGAGTATTCTGATTGCAGACATTTGTTAGTTCAGTAGTGCATTATGGGGTATTACAAGACCCACAATATGGCAAACACAAAATACATTGTCAAAAGGTTTCGGCACAATTTCTGCACTACAGTTTTTTCAGATATAGCACTTCATCCTATTCTTGTGTTGCATCCTTCACGTGGATGAAATTGCAATACTCTTTCGATGGTCACAATGTTTCGTGGATTCACATGCGCTAGTAATCCAGTCGTGACCTGGGCATTGCTTGTAAGAAGCTGAGGACAGCAACAGTTTGCACGGATGTTCACACTTTGTCAGATTCCAGTTTGCAATAATGAGATCTCCGTGAATTCTGCGATATTCTGAAGAGAGAACATCGATTGGATGAAGGCGTAGTTCGTAACTGTGGCTATATAATCCAGTGTTACTTTGGTAGTCCTTCGTTGAACCTGCACCAAAAAGTCGAATGTCTCGTTATAACCGAGGACCCTAGTCTTGAACCGTCTACTCATTGTGGGACGAATGTACCCGTTGATCAGGAGGGAGTACTTTTTGTCGCTCAAATCGACCAAGAGCTCGCCTCAGCTTCACCATATTTGCTGATCTCGGACACGGATTTCCGAAACTTTCTTGTACCGTGATATCTAGGTCTGTTTCACTAATGACGTGCTGTGGAATGTACTTTCCCAATCAGTATGGGTGACTGAAGATAAACAAGGTCAGATGTTTCTCGAATAAAACTTTAGGACTTTGGAACCATCCGCATATATACGCGTTGTGTATGATATACTTGCTCGATCACTTATTTAGGTTCTTTTGTAAAAGTAGCGGGTCGATGACTAATCCTTTGGACACACCGCTGGGTTTGTGAAGTCTCTCGTAGAGTGTGTATGCACGTCTTACTTTGATTGTTCTTCTATGTAGATAACTTCCAGCCAGAATAACGGTTCGCCGAGAATTCAGTAGCCGCTAAGCTTGCGGACGGAAAGTGACTGGTTGACACCGTTGAGTGCTTTGGAAAGGTCTAAGTAAGTAGCATCTAGCGGCACTGCATCGTCAGCCGACCTAGTCCGTGAGTTCGAATTAAGAATCAAATTGGTAAGATAAGATCAGTTACGTCTAAACCCATACTGAAGACGAAAAATGAATTGCCGATTTTCAACGTATCTCGTAAGTTCATCGGTGATACGGTGGGCAATCGACTGTCAGGAAGATCACGATATGTTGCAACAAAACCCAGAATGCACTTTTGAATGGTCAAAGCTAAATCTACTTTCGTTTAACACGGACAATTGCAAAACCTTGCGTGTCAACCACTAGCCCACGTACGCATATAAGCTTGGAGACGGCATTCTGAAAACCGACTTATAAGAGCGAGATCTTGGGGTGGTGATCCAAGACGACCTCGGCTGTTCAGTGCAATCTTTGAAGGCGTCCAAAACCGCGAAGCAATAGGTTGGTCTTTTACGGAGGGCGTTCAGGAGGTTCGCTCCCTCCATTTTCCCCATATGCTCAATGCGTATGCGAGGCCCCATGTTGAGTACGCCATTCAGGCTTGGCTACTCTGATTAAAACACAACCTGGTTGCACTGGAGACGGCACAGCGAACGGCAACAAAAATGTGAAGGGGTTGTCCTACCTGCAATACCATAGGGGACTGAAAGCACTGGGAGTGTATAGCTAGAGATGGCCCTCCACGGGGTGACCCCATTCTGGTGTTCCAGATTTTGTAAAACACCAGTTACGCTTGCCGCCACCTCCTTAAGCTTAGCTACGACACAGAATTGTGGGGTAATAAAAAGAACTTTGCCATGGCTTGAGTGCCGTCGGAATTATTTTGCCCTTTGAGTTTGTCAACTGTGGAACGCTCTTTTAACTTTTATCATTTCCGCGCCCAAGCTGCTTATTAAAAAAAACGAATCAACGCTGCTTTACATCATTCACATTAATTGATCTGATTTTTATTCATTGAGTAACGACAAGACGCAGACAAATATTGCGGTTACCAACCCCACGAAATCGGGGTAAACGTATATACCTAGGTCGTCTGGTGGTATTGAGCGAACGTTAGTGCAAATCGCTCACTTGTGCACTCGTGGTTTTCTCACTGTGGCTCAGCGGCATTTTGTCGCACACCGTCGGATGTATACTTATTCGGCGTGCCTTTAAAATCTTCACCTTGTGATATCATTTTATCCAGTACACCCCGGTGCATTACACATTTACCCTGCATTCTCAATTCCGGGCAGTGTTTCGCCGATATGCAACCAACCAAACTAGCGTAACTCCAACCATCGGAGATATGGTTTGATCTCACTCGATAGACCATTTCAACGGCTTTCGAAGGAACTGTTACTCTTTCAAATCCAACATTGCTTGGCGCAACTGCAAGTCTCAAGGAAAAACCACTCAGCGCGATGCATAAGCTTAACCACGGAAATTCTCAATCACACCCTCGTTTTATGTGCCCCACGTTCAAGATGACACATTCGACGCGCACGTCAGAGAAGACAGTCTGTGATCACCCAACTGTAACGTTAACATTGTGACCTTGTCGACAACGTCAGTAACAGAACAACGTTTTATTATGGAGGGCGAGTCATTCAAATGGTTCGTAACATTTCCTCAACATACGCGATGCCAAATGTGCCACAGTCTAAATACCTATGTGGATCATGTTCCAAAGTTGTTAAGGGGGCATTCGCTGCCGTAAGTGTTCCGAGTTTCCCATGCAAGATGCTTCCGAGCTAAACCTAGTCAGGCCAAATTATTAAACAAACCAGACTCTCTATGGTTCTGCTTGGAATACACATCTATTTCATTGAGAAAAATGCTTCTATTGTTTCAGAAGTACTGTCAGCTACTAGCCAAGTTTGAGGAAATGGCGACCACCAAAATCACTGCGGTTGGGGTAAGCATAGGTGACTGTGCAACCCAATCTTCCCCGTAACTGTTGCTCCTCTTCCGAGAAGAACGACTAGTAACACCGTAAGCTACACGAGACCAAGAGATCAGAACATTAACTGTTGTTCCAATACCACACGTGGCTCACATTTGACTAATGCGGCTCCCAGTTCAATCGGAGTAACTACAGGTATGGTTACTTCCCAACCTCTAGGGAGTGCCTAGAAAAAGAGTAAGCCAGTACTAGCCAAAGCTGGGTACAGGTTGCTTCCAAGAAGAACCGTTATTTAAAAGTAACATCACCCCCAACTGGATCGGAAAATGAGGAGCGTAGCGAAGTTTTTCTGGTGCAAACGTCACAGGTTTCCTGCGGTTCACCTCTAAGTATTTCAATCACTAACAGAGAGATGTCGAAAGGTGTAAACGAACAAATACCTGCACTGAGCTTACTGTGCTCCAATATCCCAGACTCAAAGTCGCATCAGTAAGAGGCAGGCAGTTGGAGGGCCTCAACCAGTGGGACATTATTAGTAACTTATTCGGAGTTGTGCTGCAAAACATTACACGAACTGCGTATTACGCGACACCTCAACTCTAAGCATTTCGGAGAGCCAAGACCTCTGCGCGTTGTGCTGAACTCCATCGCTGAAGTAGACTCAGTACTACTGTCGACAGGTAGTCTCAGAAATGAACACTGCTCCATCCGCATCTTTCCAGACATCCTATGGAGTGAGTGCTATCAAGTTAAGCGCACATAAGTGGACAACCGGAAGGTAACTTCAACTGGAACCATACTACTTCACCGGGTTTCTCAAAGTGAAGCATGTGATGAGAATGAAGTAACAACCCATGATAAAGAACAATGATGTTATATTCATGAAACATTCTGCTTGGATGATGTGTTAGCGAAATCCGTGTCACGGCTGCGTACCTCACCGAACTAAAAAGGAAGTAGCCCAAAAGTGTTGCAGCTAGTCCTACAGTCAAAACATATGGTAGCACGGCTGCTAAAAGCTGGTACCTGTTCTGGTGCAGGCTCTCATCTGAGCTTCGGTAGAAGACAGTTAGCGGTATGGCTCCTAGAAATGATATGTCACTCAAAGAACGAAACGCGATGGGATCTATAAAAGAACAATGCACCGGTGTTGTGTCTAATGAGCCAATACAACCTGTAGAGGATAATATTGACCAGACACCTTACACTTTACTTAGAAGATTAGACACGGAAATAACTACGCGGAAAATGAATAAGAGGTTAAACACTTTTCCAAGTACACACCGAAAAACCAATAGTCGCTGGCCACTCACTGGTCGGCGAAACTTCACGTAAAAGCTGCACAATCTCCGAAACATTGCTTAAATCTGAGAATCTTTCATATATGCACACTAACGTCCGAGGGCTCCTCAGTAAACATAGCGAACTTCGGCTACGTCAGATTACGAATGCTTGGGACCTAATTTCTATTACCGAAACTTGGTTACACCAAGAGGTGACCGATGCTGAGTTTGAGATTGCCGGAATGTCACTCATCCGGAACGACCGCCCCAGCAGAGGAGGTAGGGTCCTACTCTACTACCTCAGTGACCTGTAATGCGCAATAGATGATGATCTGGAAACTCACGGTACCGACTCACTCTGTTGCCTTTTCCGACTAAGACACAACGACGCATGTTTCGTAGCTGTCGTTTACCGCCCCCCTACCTTCACGCCGGAAATGGATTCCCGCTTGATACATGTCCTGAACAGAGTAATACGTACTAGGTACAGTG